GCAAAGTGCACATCCTGGGGGACCCAGACCGAACGCAAACCCCCCAGAAATAGAGCCCCTTCTGGGAAAGTACTGCTTCCAGAACCTTCTCAATACCACTCCTGCTTCCCCTCGGAGCTTTGACTTTAGACCAGGGAGATGAAAAGGAAGGGCTGAGGAGAACCGGCAGGGCCGCTCCCCAGAGCCCGACGCCAGCTGGCCCAGGTGCGCCAGGTGCGCCCTGTAGGAGGTGGGTGGGGGCGAGGGAAGACCGGCTCCGGAGGGCCCTGTAGGGTAGGCTGGGGAGGAGGCGCCTCGAGTGGGGGTGGGTGATGGGTGGGTCCCTTACAGTCTCCCTTAGCTTCCTCTCGTAGTCCAGCTCGCGCTGCAGGCTGCCCGCGCGCTCCTCCGCGGCGTCCGCCTGGTCCTGCAGGCTCCGGATCTTCCTCCGCACCGCCTCCAGCGAGCTGCTCCCCGCCATCGCGCGGGGCGGCGGCGGGCAGACGGGCAGGCTGCGGTGGGCGAGGCTGGCTGCAAGCGCTCCGGCCGCCGCTGCTGCTGCCGCACTCCCGAGCGCCCGCGCCCCGCCCAGGACGCGCCGCGCGATCGCGGCGCCCCCTGCGGCCCAAAACCAGCCCGGAAGTCGCGGCTTCCCGGGCGGCGCAGACGAACCGCAGGCGGGTGCGCGAGCGCCGGGGGCGGGCACAGCCGGCGGGGCGGGGCGCGCGCCACGGATCCCCGGAATTTGCAGGTCGCGGGAGGCACTGCGCATGCTCGCGGCAGCGGGCAGGACAGGCGTGGGGGGCGCGCTGCTGGGCACCTGGCGGTTGGGGCCTTTCCCAGAGGGCGGCCACCGCGCCAGGGATTTTACTTCGACTCCCAGCGCCCCTCCCCGGCTCCGTGGTGACCTGGGGTAAGGGACCTGGCTGCGAAGGGTGATGGTGCCGCCCACTGGCGGCAGGAGTACGCCGCTCTGGAGTCCCGGATTCCCATGCCCAGGAGGGAGAGAAGCTGAGCGAGGGGTTTGGGGTCTGAATGTGCCCCGGCAGGGACTGTTCCTCGTTGTAAAGAACCCCTGAACACAAGATCCTCACCATCACAACCCTCCTCCCCCTCCAGAATTCACGAAGTGAAAACCACTAACATATTGCATAGTGGTTAAACCTCCTATTCTAAATGTAGTTTTCCTAGGTTAGAATCTGGCTCCTAGTTCTCTCCTGGCTGTGTGACTTTGGGCAAATAACTTGACTGCTCTGGGCTTCATCTGTAAAAGTGGGGTTAATAGTGGTACTTTCCTCATAGAGCTGCTGTGAGGATTTTGAAATAATATAAAACGCTTAGCACAATACCTTGTACATAGTTAAGAACTCAAATGATAGCTTTAGTTAATAAATACACAGGCACTGTCTTAAGAGTCAGGCTGGAGCCATTAACCAGCTGTGTGATCTCAGGCCTGCCAGCCTCTCTGGGGCTCACGTTCCTTTCCATAAAAACAATCATCTGAAGGGTTCCTTCTAGTTACAATCTTCTCTGGTTTTAGATCAGCCTGTGCGATCTTCTGGAATCTGACCAATGCTGGGTTGGACTGGGATGCCATTAAAAGGCACACCAAGGGAGGCTACAGAACCCTATGAAAGCCTCTGGCTACAGCTGGATGAAAACCAATGTGGACACAATCTCTGGGAGCCGTCCTCTGCCAATTCTCCTATTGGGCTGCGATTTTAAATGCCTTGTGTGTCACGGCTTTCTTTCCTCATCTTTATCCCAGAAGGCCCTTCAGGTCAGTTCCTGATGTGTTTAAGTGTGGGAATAATGAAGAAAAAGAGAACATGCTTGACAACCCCCCTCCTACCAAGCCTAACGGCGAACCTCCTTGGTTTTCCTGACTCATTTTCTTTGGACTTGCTCACAGCCTGTGCGGACGCTCACCAACCCCAGCATGGGCCCTCATATCCTGTAGGTGGAGCCTCTCGCTTTCTTTCCACACAGTTCGTCTGGACAGGCGGGAGGTTACAACGCCTCGCCTAGACAAGTGCCCTGGACCGCGGCCCTCCAACTTTGAGGGTGGGGGAAGGGAGCGTCTGGGAGTTTCTAAGAGGAACCAGGGAAACTGCTGGACACTTACAAGTGCTCTAAGCAGCCAACTAGTGACTTCAAACACCTGGGAAAGTCAGTTTCAGGTGAGTTCATTTTCCTGCTGATGTCATTATACAAGAGGTTAGGATAGTTCTCAGCCTTGGCTGCACGTTGGAATCACCTGGTTATTTAAAAAATACTAACGCCTGTGTTCCACTCCCAGAGATTCTGATTTAATTGGCCTGGGGTGCAGCCTGGATTTGGGGTTTTAAAACTTTCTTCGGTGATTCTGTTTAGATAAGGTTGAGAATCACTGATTTAGGAAGCAAAGACCTACAGGGAATAAAGACTTACATACTATAAATATCAGATACATCACAGTTCTTGGGGAAGGGGTGGGGGCCAGAGAGAAAATGGAACGCCTGATCCCCTTAGAGCCTCACCTAGGTGGAACCACAAAAAACAAAACCCTCGGGGATGCTTCCTGAATTATAAGCTTTTAAGCTAGGAAGAGCCCACTTCTGGAATAGGATTTGTAAAGTAGGTTGATAAATTAGAAAAACGTGAAATTGTTTTACACTGGTAATGACAGTGAAATGTCTTAATCTCAAATGTAACATGATTCTACCTCAGGAAGCTGACCTCTCTCCCACCTCCCCCTTTCTCTAGTGACATCTGTCTCTTCCTCCTCAAATCTTGACTATTTTTACTAGTTAGGAATTACTCTAAATATAGCATTTCCTCACAAACCTCTTCAACATCCCTACAGGTTCCAGACAACCTAAAATGTCTTAAAGGAGAAGGTGATCAATATACTACAAAAAAAAAAAAAAAAAAAAGATGGCCCATATTAGGGACAGTTTTCCAGTGGAAAAAAATGAACCAAAACAGTTTCAAAAATCTCCCTCCCCTGCTGGCTCTGCCCCCGCCCCAGCTGGCTTTAAATATCCTCTTTTCCACTTCTGTCCCACCTCATTCCAATGCTCCCTTAAACAAGACTATTCAATAAAGACATGATAGCACTCCATAATTACAATAATTATGATCTTTTTTTCCTTAAGAATTGTAGTAGCTTTTTATCTCCTTCTCTTGCCTTCAGTCTTACTGGGCTATTTTCAAATTCTCTGCATTCTTTTCCTTATAAGGAATATCTCTCCTTGATCTATCAGCGGCTCTTTTGAAAAAACTAAATAAACGTCCTGCTGGAGAATTTGGGGGAGACAGACATCCTCCATTTAGCCATATACGGAGCAGACATCTGATCTACATTATACAAAGCAGGCACAGAGTTATATGTGTTTTTTGGCTCTTTTTCTAAAGCCAGGTAGTTTGTAACTTAAATGTTTTAGCTAAATCAGTGCATCAGTGCTTCCCTGAACCCCCTTTCCCAGGAATCTTGATTTTCACTGAAAATTTCTTTTTGTCAGATTCTAAATGTCCTATGTCTGGATTTCTCATTTACAAAGCACACTTGGAAATTACATTTCAAGCCTTTCACGCCACAAAAAGCCTGTACTGATTTCAAGACCCAAGACCCTCCAGCAATTTGCATTTTACTCTCATACAAAAAATTCTGCGGTTGAACTTGGTAGTTCAACTTCTGGGCATAGCTTTCCCGGGTGCTCATGCATTCTTGGAATTGTTATACCAACTTCCCAAGGAATTCTTGCCTAATTGGGCCTCTAGGCTTAATTAGCTTCTGGAATGGAATCCAATGGTGTGAGAGGAAGTCAGTCCTTTGGAAATCTAATGGTTGGCTTGACTTATTCAGCAGAAGAGGCCAGCTCTTCAGCTAAAAAGATTCCAAAGGGCAGCGGACAAAGTGCTGGTAGAGCTTTGGCGGCCTATGCATCACCCCTGAAACTATGCGGTGGTTGTCAGAGGGCTGACAGGTGGGGGTGGGGCGAGCAGGAAGGGCAGGGGGCAGCGGGCTCACTATACCATATAAAGCACTGAGCTATATATAACTCCCAGCTTACTTTCTGGATCTGGTGCCCTCAGACTGCAGACCCAAGCAAGTATCATCTTCCCAGGCAGATCTTAAGGGGTGGATTAAGACTTCCCTGGTGAGAAAGGAGGCCTCAAGTGTCTCTCTGCCCCACCATCAAGCTCCGCCTTCTGAGTAAACCTAGCACCATGCCATTCCTTCCATCTAGAGGCCAGGCCCTCTGGATCCTGACTAGACCCACCACTGAAACCCAGGCCTTCCCACCCACCAGACATGGCAAAAGGAAAGAGAGGGAAGAAAACCAGGCATTCTGTCTGCACAAACCTTGGTGATGACACCTCAGAAGTTTTCTGCCACCAGGGAGGCAAGGTTCACCTCCAAAGTCCAATTTCAGCTGCTCTATGCTCCCAGCTTCTCACCCACCCACCTCCACCCCCAGGGGTGGGGAGAAGGAAGGAGGAAAAAAGAAAGAGGAATGGATGAAATATAAATGAAGGTGTGCAGTAGCAGTCCCAGGCAGCATCCAGTGCTCTGAGCCATGGCGGGGCTGTGTGCAGATGTCCAGCAGGAGGAGGTGACCCTCCTCCATTGCTCTTTGGCCCGTGTGGTGACCCCGGAGTGGCCACGCGGGGCAGGAGGTGAGGGAAGCAGTGTGTGCGTGCACTTACGTCGGTGGCCTTTTTCTCCGCCAGCTCCAGCTTCTCCTGGGCATCTTTGAGAGCCTCGGAGTATTTGTCCAGTTCATCTTCGGTGCCCTTGAGTTTCTTTTGCAGCGACACTAGCTCATCTTCCAGCTGGGAGTTGGCCGTGGGGGACGGGAGGGGGGGTGGGGGGGGGTGCAGCAGGCAGCGTGATCCCGCAGGGGAAGGGTGTGGGTGCACAGAACCAGAAGGACAGGGACAGAGGGAGAGAGAGAGGGAAAGACAGGGAGGGAGAGAAAGAGAGAGAGACAGAGTTAGCCATTCGTGCGCCGCACCGCGCCGCGCGCCCCGGGTACCTTGGCGGCGGACTCGTCGGCGGCCAGGAGGCTGTCCTCCGCCTTGTGCAGCTCCTCCAGCACCCGGTCCCGCTCGTCCTCCGACGCCCGCATTAGCTTCTCCATCGCCGCGATGTCCTCCTCGAGCTGGGGGCAGCGGCGGGCGGGCGCGGGCGGCCGGCACGGACCGGGTGTTAGACACACACACAACACAAGGGCGCCGGGTTGGCTGAGGGCCCTCGGGCTTGGGGCGCCACCGAGTTGGGACTCAAGGGTCCCTGGGTAACCTCCTCTCGCTCCGAGCTGGAACCGCACTGTGGCCCACCCCGCACCTCCACCTCCCCCGGGAGGAGACTCCTGCTGAGGCCTCAGCGGGCTCAAGTCCACAACTTGGGGGCCCAGAAAAAGCCCCTGTCTCCCTATCTTTCGGGCCGCACTCTCTATTCTGTCCTATCTTTGTTCTTAGGAAAAAAATCCATGACCTCCTCCCCTCCCCCGTCTCTATCCCAGTTGAAGTTTATATTCTCCCCAGTCAAAAGTCCAGAAGAACGACTAACACTTTCTGGACTTGATTCCCTTCAACCCCTCAACCCTACCGATCCCCCATCCAAAATTGATTCCCGATCCTGAGGATCAAGTGCCTCTAGGACTTGGATTGACTTCGCGAGCTCTGGGACCAGAGAAGGGAAACAAGCGTCCTCAGACGAGACTAAAGAGTTAGAATAAGCCTGAGTCTTCTCTTCCCCTCCCCCTTCTTAGACGCGCGTCCCTGGCCGCCCAGGAGTAGGGGGTGGCTCTCCGAGTCCTGGGGGTGAGGGGCCGGGCGGGGGTGCCAAGCCCGGTGCCAGGGCTCGGGGCCACCGGGCGGACGGAGCGCGCGGGCGCACGGGGGGCGCAGGGCCGGGGAGGCGCAGACCTGTTTGCTCCTGTCCTCCGCCGCCTTCTTATCGGCCTCCGCCTGCTCCGCTCGATCCAAGGCGTTCTCCTTGTCGAGCTTCAGCATCTGCATCTTCTTCTTGATGGCGTCCATGGTGGCGGCGGCGAGGGGCCCTGGGGCTGCGGCGGGAGCGGCGAGGCGAGAGCGCGGTGGGGCGGCCGAGCCGGAGTGCGAGCGCAGAGCAGCCTGCTGCTCCCAGATATGTACTTTCCCAAGGGGGCGACCGCATTCCTCAAGACAGCCAATACTTTTTTGGAAAAGCTTTTTTCTCCTGCCCCTTTTCCCCCTCCTTCCTCCGCCCCCTGCCCCCTCCCCGCTCCTCCCGCGGGGGCCGCTCGCCCATTCGCTGCCGCCTGCCGGCCTCCCAGTTGACGGTGGATATGTCTATATATGGGGACCGGAGCCGCCGGGGCGGCGGCCGGGTGAGGCCGCCCTGTTTCCAAACCTGCACGCCAGGGAGAGGGCACCGGGGCCGAGCCCGGGCCGGGGCGCTAACCTCTGCCCTGCGCGGCTCCTCCTCCCAGGGCGGACGCCCCGCAATCGAGGGCCCCAGGCGAGCCCGCCCTGAGCCACAGGAGGCCGGGGCAATAGGGCAGGTAGAGGGTGCGCGTCGCCCCCCTGAGCCGCCAGATCCCGGCGCGCTCAGCATCAGGCCCCGAGGCCCCCAGCAGCCGCCCCACCCGGCGCCGGGGCTTGCGCGCTCCCTGCACTCGCCCAGCGCTTCCCCGGCAGCTCTCCGCTTGCCGGGTGTCATCCGGGCGCTCACTCTGGAAACTCAACTAGAGCAGAGAAAGGACGAGTTGGGAGGAAGGTCTGGGGGCCCCTCCTGAAACTTCCTCTGCTGGTGCGGGTCAGAATGTCTGGGCATCTTTCTGCGTGCCCTTCCTCCAAGGAGAGGAACAGTCGAATATTTTAGGGACACGGGACTCGGCTTAGTTCTGCTTTTGCCTGTGTGTGGTGCTTCTGTAAAGGTGCTTGTGTGTGTGCTAGTGTGTCGGTGTGGGAATTTAAGGGGAAAGAATATTGAGTGTAGACTCAGGCAACTCAGTCTTTGGTCTCCATCACCAGCAGCTGTGTGACCTTGACGCATGGCCTCGTGCTGCAGTTTCCTCATCTTTAAATCCCGGGGATAGATGATCCCTGAGGTGCCTCCAGATCTCACTTTTTATCATTTTTCTTGCACTGATTTTAGGGAGTCGGCCTCTTTCCATGTTAGGTGCTCAGGTACCAGGTTGCCAAAACGTGGGATAGATGTTACCCCAGCGAAGTCACTGTATCCACAGCCATAACCACGAGGAGCGAACAGGCCAACTCTGTACAGACTGTGAGACTTCAAGCTCTGCTTGAAGGCAGGAGGATTTCCCTTACATCTCTGACTCCTCCCAGCCCCCAGTGGGGAAAAGCTTGCTCTTTTCAGAGCTTTGGTGGGAGGGGAAGAGAAGGGGCCACCCCAAGGCTCTGCCTGAGACTGGCTGCAGCAGAGTTGGTGAGGGTCTTGTTCACCGTCCCCAGAGAATAATTCACAACCTGTACTACATGGATACTGAATATTCCCTGGGCAGTATCTGAGTAGATTAGGCAGGCCAAACAACTTGTAAGTCCTTCAGAGAATAGTCAAGTTCCTCTCCAGGATTTTATCAAGCTTCTTCCACTAACCTAACAGCCCAGGAAGGAAAAGATACCCTGACCTAATGGTCAGAACATTAGATCTGTGTGCATAGGGGCTGTAGGGCACAGAAATTCACCAGAACCCCCCACCCACGGGAGCACTAACAAAGTTCAAGGCCTGTGGACTTGAACAGATGCATGGACCACAGGGAGCTGATTCTCCAGCTTGGAGCTCAGGACAGGGGGCAAGAGTAGGGACTCAAGAATTAGACCCTGGGATCCAAACCTGGCCTGGCCACCTCTTTGCAATGCGACCGTAGCCATGTTACAATCTCTTTAGGCCTCAGTTTTCTCTTCTGTAAAGTAGGTGTAAAAATTCTTCCCTGTTAGAGTTGTTACAAGGATGACAATGCAATAAAGAATGAAAAGCATTTTGTCTAGCACATAGCAAAGTGCTCAGTAAATTACTGCTGCTTGAGTGGCAGAGGGCAAGTTGTTTCCCCTCTCTGGGCCTCAGTTTTCTCATCTATAAAATGAGGCAACTGAACTAGAGAAACTCCTGGAGGGATCATATAATATTGACTTTTCTCCACTGTGCCTAACATAGCAGAGCAACTTGTTAAATTTTCCTTAAATGAACTGGTGCTACAGACAATTCCTCAAACACACCATTGGTGAGCATCTGCTCTATACCAGGCAGGCGCTAGGCTCTGGTATCCCCAAATGAGTAAGACACATCCATGCCCTCCAGGTGTTCAGCATGAGCAGGGGTATAAGAACTCAGAGGAGAAAGAAATAGAAATGACCAGTTAGGAGCAGACAGAATAAACTTCTCTGAAAAGTGCTGGTTTTTAAACTGATTTTAGAGGAAAGGTAGCAGATAGAGAGGAGGATACTGTATGAGCCAAGGGAAGAAAAAGGAATGTTTCATGGTGGTTGGACACTAGGTTTCCTTGGGGGTGAACTGGGACATGAGACTGGAAAGGTAGATTGGGGGCATATGGTAAAGGGACTGAATTCAGGGTTCAGACGTTCAGGTCTTATTGTTTGGGTTGAAGCCAAGCAGTCTTCTGCCCCTCCCTGCCCCTCTCACCCAGAGTTATGTTCAGAGGATGAAGACTGTGGTATCCAAGGGTGGAAATGGAGCTACACAGAGCCAATTTTTTAAATCCATTGGTACCACATCATTGATCCCTAGATTGATGGGTTAACATAGCAGGTCCCTGGACTGAATCATTTCCATTTCGCCACTGTTGAGATTCTGCCCTATGAATAGCCTGACAGCCAGCCAGACCCAACCCAGCTTCATGGACTGCACCATCCATGACCTTTCTGTCATCTAGGGCTAGGACAAGCAAAACATCATGACTTAAACAACAATTTCTTCTGTACTGGACAGATCTCCTGGTCGCTGGATAGGATCAAGAGGAGTGGGCTGGACAGCCGCGTGCTGTAGTGTATATATCCCTGTTGCCCAGCTGACTGGCCATGACTCATGGACAGACCCAAAGGCTAACCAGAGACCTAGTGCTGTGGTCTGTCAGGCAAAGATGGACTAGGCCACTCAGCTTCTCTCTCACTGTGGTTTGAACTAAGGAATGTGGAAAATATGAATCATCAGCTGTGGCTGCTGAAACAAAAAGTGTTTGCAATCTTGGGCTAGAGATGCCTTGAATGAGGGTGATTAAGGCTATTCACAAATATTTGGGCTTTCTCCCCAATCAGGGTCTTGGTAGGATTGTACATCTTCACCCAATTTAGTTAGGTGTGGTCATTTGACTTGCTTTGGCCAAGGAAATGTGAGCAGAAGTGACTTATGGCGGACACTTGAAGAGTTAGCACAATGTCTCACTATGTTCATTTTTCAAGATTCTTGCTGCTCTGTCATTCTGGGTTCCCACGTGGCTATGGTAAGCAGAGCTCCCCCTCTCCTCCCAACTAACCCTTGGTGGACATGTAGCAAAAGTGAGATATAAACCTTTGCTATTTTAGGCCACTGAGATTTGGGGGTTGTTTGTTACTGAAGTGTTACTAGCATCTCCTGCCCTAATTCAGCACAACAGGTCATATATCACCCCAGTTATGAGGAAGCAGAGATGTCTGGTTATAGAGAAAGGAGGATGGAGCAGACATGTCAAGATAAACAGAAGCACCACTGAGAGAAAGAGAAGGGAGAATATGACCAAATTTCAGTGCCAGGAGTCCTTATAACCCCCTTTCTTTCCTGAGGTTACATGAGAGAGTCTGTGTTCCTTGAAAGTAAAAAAGCTGACCGAATCACGGTGACATGGGAGCCTGCACAACATCCTTGGTCCAGAGCTTCTGTGTGAACATCAAGAATGTCTGTGGAATTTCCAGGAGATTTCCGTAGTGCTTGGTATTCAGTCATTTCTCAGTAAATGTTTGTTGAATGACTGTTTATTGGCTATTAGCCATACAATTAAGTAGGAGAAACAGTATCTGGGAAGGAAAGATAACAAAACTATGCTCAAAAGACATTATTTCCATTCAAAATATGGATTCTATGTTTTATTTTCTGAAGTATTGTGATAGAGTAGGACAAATATTTACTGAACACCTTTTGTGTGCCAGGCATTTAACTAGAGTTTATGGGATCAAGGAAGGTGGATAAGAGACCTGGATCTTTTCCTCCAGGATAAGTATTTATGTATGACGTGGGGTAAAATCCTCTCTCTGGGGGTCATTTAATGTGAATTTCCAACCACATTACCATTGACCCAAATGCTGCCTGGGCCCCCCTATAGCTGTGAGGATCATGTATCTCAGGTTTTCTAGGAGAGCTTTAACATTAAATATACTGTCCCTTCCTCTCATAAGAGCACCCATACTTGCCATACTACATTTTCCAATATTTGGTTAGAAAAGACAATCAACATGAGCAACAAGTGTGACGCCTTTAACAAGAACACTCACTTGACTATGTACATGAGGGTTTGTTTGTTTAAAAACAAAAGCAAAAATAAACCCTTATTACCTGATAGTCACACCTTGTTTAACAGCACTAGCTCTACCCATGTACCATGACTCCCCCAGCGTCAGCAGTGCTGACTCAAGCAATTATGGGAACGTGGAGAATCTATAATTAAATTGAGAGACAATTGCTTCTTCCACTGGGTTTTGGAATGCAGCGTGTTATGCTCACGGCTCATTGTCTCATGGAACAAGATACAGCCTGTTCTCCTCATACACAAGGGATTTTTCTTTCTCAAGGTTTGTGATGCTACCATCAAGCACCCAAGGAAAGTATGCTCTGCTTTCAGGGAGCGTTTGGAGCTCTGAGAAAGGTCTTCAGGCCACTGTGGATGCCTTTCTTCGTTTAGTGACCATCTTTCATTGTTTAGAGGTCCCTGAGTACGCTTGCTACCTGGAGGGTTGGCACAGGCAAAATGGTTCTCCCAGGACAGAAAAAGACAATAAGTTAGTTCTGCCTTATATCTTATCTTCTGTTTTTCAACAGGAGCAACTATGTATAGATTTAATCAAGCTGACTTGTGGTGGAATTTAGCTGTCTCAAGAATAGCAATATTCCTTATTTATGTAAAGTCTAAAAAGCACTTTCAAGTTCATTATCTCCTTCTCACCACCTCTTATGACAGCATCAGGATGAGTGCTATTATTCTCATGCTATAGATTAGAAAACCAAGGGCAGT